TTTTAATAAATCTAAAGAGATTAATTTTTTTTTTTTTTACTTATCTCTCTCATCATGTATATCTATTAAAATCAATTATTAAAAAAATATAAAACCTTTTAGTTTTATACTTCTTTTAACCATTAGTTTCAATAAATTCAAAAGATAAAAGAGACAAGTTACAAAGAGAAATATAGTTTAATTTCATCTCTTGGATTAATTGAAATAACTAATTTGAAAAAAGTGTTTTAATTTGTCTAATAATTGATTTCAACAGATCTAAGGATGAGATTAAATCATTTTTTTTTAAACTTTTGTCTTTCATCCTTGGATCTATGGCAATTAATAGTTAAAAAATATAAAAACTAAAAAAAATTTTATATTGGTCTAAGTTGATCCTCTCTCTCTCTCTCTCTCTCTCTCTCTCTATATATATATATATATATATATATAAGTTAAATTGACACCTCAAGTTAAATGTTTGTTTGTTCATTTTTTTTGTTTTAATATAATTTTATACATTGTAATTTAAAAAAATTAAAATCATATTATTATTTTTTATTTACCTATCCACCAATAATTATTCATAATTGAGTCAAGTTGAGTCGACACATTACTAAATTTATGTTAGGTTTAATTATAATTGAACTCAATTGAGTTTTGTTTTTTATCTTTGGTTTATAATTTACTTAAGTCGCTCGAACTAGAAATATAATTGAGCCAAATTAAGTTGATACATTTACAGGTTCGAGCTCATTTCGATTCAAAAACTAAAGGCTTAAAACTTGACTCAAACTTGATTAGATTTCATTTTGTCATGCTTGAGTTAGGTTTGTAATTTACTTAAATTGCTCAAACTCGACTAGATCGGATTGATTAAACTCCATTAGTAGGTTATAAATTTGGACAATAAATATTATATTTTTGTTATTTACATATATATATAAATTATAAAAATATTAAAAAAAATTCAATTAGACTCACAAATCTATCGAAATCAAGAATTAAGGTACTCGAAGTCAATTGAATTTGTTATTTAAATAGCTTGAATTCAATTAGATAATGAACGGATTAAACTTGAATATTCGTTAAATCAAACTCGAGTAATTTGTTTTGTTTACACCTTAGGCCAAAATAAAATAATCTAACATAAAAAATTTGATTTTGCATATAACTTATAATTTGTATTCTGTTATCTTATGAGAAGTTATAAAAAATCATATATGAAATATGACATTTCAATTCCAAAAAGAAAAAATATAGCATTTCCATAACAATCAAAAAAATAAATAATGTATTTAAAAAACAATAAATAATGCATTAAATAATTTCTCAACATATATGCATAATGTACAAAATTTAAATTAATAATTTAGGGTAAAATACATTTGTTGTCCCAAATAAAGTTTCATTTTGATCCTTAAGTTTTAAATTATTCTATTATAATTCCAAACCTTTTAAAATGATCCAGATTTTGCAAAAGAATTATAACTTAAGGTAATAGATTCAGAATTATTACTATTCTAAAATGTATTTATGAAAAAATAAATAAAACTTCTAAAATTTTTAAGAATAAAATAGAACTATCATTTTTACTCTTAATTTTAACATTCAACTTAAAATCAAGATAAAAATAATAATTTATTTTCCTTTGTAATAATTAAAAAGATTATTTTCTTTATAATAAATATATTTTGGTATAATAGTAAAGAGTAATAATTATGAGTCAATTATCCTTATTTGTTTCATATCTTCATTTTATTTTATTAAATTTTATTTTACCAATATTTACAAATTTTAATGAAAAATATAAAATTAAGTCCAATTAAAAAATAAGAAATTATTTTTAACAAAAAAAATTGAAGCATATCCAAATAATTTAAATGCATTTGTCAGAAAAGAAATATAATTTTAAAATTTTTAGAAGGAGAAAAAAGTATCATTTTTGCCTTGATTTTAAAAACTCAACTTAAAATCAAGGGCAAATGGTATTTTATTTTCTTTCATAATAATTATAAAAGTTTTATTTTTTTAATAAATACACTTTTGTATGATAGCAAAGAATAATAATTTCAAATCTAGATTTTATTTTATTTTATTTTATTTATTTTGTTTTATTAAATTTTATTTCCCCAATATTTATAAATTTTGATAAAAATATAAACTAAATCTTCTTAATAATAAAGTTAGGAATTATTTTTAATAAAAAAACATATGCAAATAATTTGACTCTTAGGTGATTGACATTTATTTTTAAAAAAAATTAAAAAACTTGTATGTACTAAAGTACTTAGTAAATAAAATTTACATTACAACTATACTTTTAAACTTAAGCACTAAGCTAATTATACTCATTTGTTAAGTGATCTTGAATGAATTACTTCTAATAAAATAATTTCTCAAAAGATTATAGTAGTAAATAAGTTAGTTCTGTTAAGTTGGCATAATTTTAAAAAGTTTCAAATTATACTAGTAATAATTTACAAAAATACTTTCTAAGATTATTAATTATTGTTTAATTCTATTAAGTTAAGTGTTAAAACACTATTTGGATATGTTTCATTTCCTTCATTTCTTTTAATTCTAGCTTATATTTAATAAGATTTAACTTTATATTTTTTGATTAAATTTCATAAAATATAGGAAATATAAAATTTGATAAAACAAAAATAAAGAAAGGAAATAAAATTATGGTGGGTCTAGAATTATTACTTTTTACTATTATAACAAAATATATTTATTAGAAAAGAAATAACATTTTTATATTTCTTATGAAGAAAAATAAATTATCATTTCTCTCGTGATTTTAAGTTAAATTTTTAAAATGAAGGGCAAAAATGATAGTTTTGTTTCATTTCTAAAAAATTCATTTATTTTTTAATAAATATTTTTTAGCATGACACCAAGGGTAATAATTTTGAATCTATTATCTTAAACTGTAATTCTCTTGCAAAATATGAAAGAACACCGTACTGACCCCATTTGAAAAAAATTTAAGATTATCATGAAATAATTTAAAATTTAAGAATTAAAATGAAACTCAAATAAGAGGCTTGGGACTATAAGTACACTTTACTCGAATAATATATAAAATATTTTTGAGTGATAAACTTATATAATCAAACAAAATTTTTTCCATTATATAAATAATATGATTTTTTATTTTTATTTTTCTATGTAATAAAATTCAATTAGTTTTCATACTTATTCATATGTGTATATTCCAATTTAGAGATAGCAAACAAGTTGGTTTGGATAAATTTGGATTGAGCTGTTTTCATATTAGGATTCATTTTGGGTTTAGATCGTCTTGGATTCAGATAATTTTGGATTTAGATGATTTTTTAGATAAGAAAAATATTTTAGTTAAGAAAAATATTTATTTTTTATTTATTTAAAAAATCAAATAAGTATAGTTTCGGTTTTTTCAAATTATAATTCAATATTTTATTGATTTCATATCAAATTAATTTCGAGTTAAAATCATTGTGGATTCAAGTTATGGCGGATTCGAATTATAATGGTTTTGAGTCTTTTTAAATTCAGATTTTTTTGAATTTGAAATATTTTCATCTTTGAATTTTTTGAATCAAATGTTATAAAATTCAGTCTTTGACTTTTTTTAATCAATTCGAGTTATTCGGACAAATTTTCAGATTCAGCTTTGTCACCTCTACTCAAATTTGCACAATTCTATCATAAATATTGATAATTTGTTTTAAATTAAAAAAGCTTATAACTTATTATATATATGTATATATTAATGACTTAAGATCAGAAGATAAAAGTTTATTTATCCTGCGAAGAAGTTTTCATCATCCTGTTTTATCGTGATCGTGATGAACTTTTTAAAAAGACAAGATTACACATTCTTTTACAGTGATTACGGTAACTTTATGGTTCAAAGTTTGTGTTTCTTTTCTTCTCTTCCAAGCTCACTTTCCTTTTTTTTTTTTTTCTTGTTTTTCCCAAAAGCTCACTTTTTATTTTACTTAACCTTCGTTTGGATGCAAGTGACCAATCCGTAGGGGTTAGTTACCATACGGAGAAGGCCGGTCACCAACTTTTCCTCTTTTTTTTTTTTTTTTTTTTTATGTAGTGAGTATCGGTTAGTTTTATTTATTTTATTTTTATTTTTGTCCTCTAAATATTATTTTAATACTAATTGAATCAATTTTTTTATTTTGATTTTTTACTTAAAAATTATAAAAATAACTAATTTAATTTAATATAATAAATAAATTTTATTATATAATATATTAATAAATAATTTAAATAAATTTTATTGTTTCTTAACAAATTTTATATAATAAATAAGTTTTATAAATATTAAATAATTTAAAATTTTTTTATTATATATAAATTTTAATTTAATATCATAATAATTACTTTTTTTCATTACAACTCAATTTAGCGTCACTATTGTATTTATATCTAAATATATATTTTATCATTAATTTCAATCTTAATCTCATTTAAAATAGTTTTATCGTCCATCTAAATAGACGTTTAGTACCTTCGAAAAAGTTTAATATGGATCATATTATTAACAAAGCTATTTTTGGTAGGCTTTTTTTTTTTTGGAAAAAAAATCAACCATTAGTTTTTGACAAAGTGATTAAGATTTGAAAAATAAATTTTTATAATTAGAAAAAGAAAATTTTTACCTGGGGAGACCATATTTTATTTTTTAAGGGCTACTTGTAGATTAAATATATATATATATATATATATATATAAATTGAGATTTTCAAATCTGGGATAGCTTCCCCGGCTCTCACGTAATTAAAATGAAAAAAAAATTGGTAAAATATTTAGTTCAAATTTAATTTTTAAATTATTTTTTGAAAAAATTTCACTCATAATTTTAAATAAAATTAATTATTTGATGCTCGTTTATGAATTGATAGAATATATATAATTTTGTGAGCTTATTAGTTTTATTAATATATTGTTCCTATATATTTTTATATTAGTAAATATAAGAATAGAACTGATCATCTTCTTCATAAACTTTTGTTTTTGTGTTCTGGGATTCTGCAGATAGTATACCATGTCGTTTTTACCAGCACGGAAAGGGAGACAGAGACAACGGTACGAGGATCACCTGAGGCTTGTTGCTGGGTAATCTCAATATTTCAATGCTTTCTAGTTTTAAATTTCTTTCCTTGTTTCTAGGCTGTGAAAATTGAAATTCTTAGTTGGATTCTGCTCATTTAATATGATTGTAGTAACCATTTTCTTAGTGTTGGTAATAACAACATAATCCAGGTGAATAGGGTGCCCATGTCTCCCTTAAAGGTGTTAAGAATTAGTGACTAGCATCGTTCTTTGTCTTAGTGCTTCTTCTTTCAAACAGAAAGAGAGCAAATTTGCAATAAGAAGTGCCAAATTACCGTGGTTAACCTGATAGTGGTTTTGCTTGTATGTCAACTTTCGCTGATAAACACTAAAACAGAGATGGGCCTTTGCCTTGACTTTCTGTGGCCCTTGTCATTGTCTTGATATTGAATTTCTCCACAAGGACTTCAAGAAAAAATAAAATAAAATAAAAAGAAGAACGATACCAGTGGTCATGTTTTTAAACAGAAAGATATGATAAAATTGTTTGATGCATTAAAGGTTTTTATTTATGTATTTTTTCTTTTGCTTGAGGCGGTGAGGTGGGGGTGGAAAAATGCAGGATTGACCGAGTTGAATAGCACAGGGGTCTATTTAAATGATGAGATTGATCTAATAACTTTCTTTTCACAGGCTTTTTTGTTATTTTACTCTGCTGCTTCTTTACTGTTACTATGAGTATGAAGAACGGACACACTAAAGAAGGTTTTCTTGGCATAAATTAGAGGCACTGATCACTTGAAATTTTTTTTGAAGTGGGTAATATTGTTTTTGGTGCTTACTTTTCATGTTACCTTTCTTAAATTTTAGAGTTTCTGTTTGGAATCATATATAGCAGATGACAAGCACCCCTGTTTTCAATTTATAAGCTAGTACAAAGTATCTTGAAGAGATTGATTATTGGAATCTTTAAGAAGTGGCGTAATGTCAGCAGCTACCTCATGCACTACTTTCTGTAGATGCATTCTTCTTCATGAACAGCTGCAAACCTGCTCTGTTCTCTGCGGTCTTTTTCACTCACAGTTGCTCCTTCTGGTGCAAAAAATAGGTGTATTCCATACAGACTCGAGAATGATGTTGTGGATAGAAATAGTCATGTGACGAGCAGGATTACTGTTCTCATGATTTCCACGTCAAATCGTGATGATCTTGTGTTCCCTAAGGTATATACTTATCTTCCCACTCCGATCTGTTCCCACATTGGATGCTAAACTGTTTAGTCTATCTGATGTGTTATGAAAACCGTACTTTGGATGAGATTGTTATGTCAAGGTTGACACCGTTATGTGACTGTCAGGGTGGATGGGAAGATGATGAGACTGTTCATGAAGCAGCATGTCGTGAGGCCTTGGAGGAAGCTGGAGTAAAAGGAATACTTGATGTAGGTTTGAATATCTCTTTTTGGTGTAGGCATGACTATCTACTCTTGCTTATTAAATTTAATGTTCCATCAAGAACTAGAAGGAAATTTTTATTTTTTAATACTCATATAAAGCATACTGGAGTTGTCTAACTTCTCCTTTTAACTAATAGTTATTAAATTGACTTGCACAGTTCATGCATGTAGTCGACAGTACAGCTATAATTAGTCATCTAAGGAATATATAATGTCTTTCTAAACTGCCATGGGCTGTTGGCTAAGGTAGTAAGTAATGGGGAAATATTCAGGTTAGACTTTACCAGTCATGTCCAGATAAGCCAAAAGATGTTAATTCATTCAAGTGATTAGGACCTATTTTTTGTTCCTTAATTCTTGGTATGAAGTTAATGCTCACTTAGTGGCGCTGACTAATCTTGCTTTATTTGATACATTAATCCATCTAAATTTCTTGTTCGCATATGCCTGCCTCTTCCGAGAATTATATTTTCTAAAAGCATTTGACTGGTTTCAGTTATAATCAGTCAGTACCTGCAATTGGAGGGTATAGAATTTGATGAAAATGGTGATTTACTTATGAATGGATGGAAACATAAGTTTTACTTATCAGGTTGTATATGCTCTATCGCATGATGAGATCATTGATTATGGTCAGACAAAAAAAATGAAAAGAGATGAAATTGTCTTAGAAAGGAAAATGGGACTTGAGGCAGCTATACAGTTTTGGACAACTGCTCTTGATGCAGTCAAAATTGTTATGCTGCCGCTGCACATGTTTGTTCTCTTTGCAAGTTCAATGATAATGAGCTGTTGAAATATGCGTGCCACTCATGCTAATATGAATCTATATAGCAACTTCCCATTCGTAATCGAAAACACATAGCTCAGCATTTGGTGCACAAGTTTCAAGAACATTCAAAATAGTTCCTGCTTTCCATATTTTTAAAGTGGAATTTGGTTTGCTTTGGTCTTGTAATCTGTTACCAATATCCACGTTTGATATTGTAGAAATCTATATGAGGTTTTAGTTTCATTATTTACATGCCAGTATTTGTATGTCGTACATCACTGCACAAAATCATTGCTAACTGCTGACAGAGACAGATGCAGTTGACGTATCATATTGTAATGGACTGACATTCCTTACATAAATATCCGTTTTCAATATATAATGGAGTCATTTTCACTTTATTCAGGAGAATCCACTGGGAGTCTGGGAGTTTAGAAGCAAGAGCAGACAGAACAGCTGCAGTCTGGAAGGTGGTTGTAGAGGTTATATGTTCGCCTTGGAAGTGACTGAAGAACTTGACTCATGGGCAGAGCAGACTAATTACAAGAGGAAATGGGTCAGTAAGAAAAATTTAGGTTTTCTTAGCAATGCACATCGCACGTATTGGTCATATGGGGAAGATTGCCTTACCTATTATGATAAATCATCTTGAAAATGCCCGAAATGGAACATTTTCTTGGCGGCTAGGTTACTTGTTAACATGTTTGGAGGAACAGTCTACAAGATGAATTTGCCCTTTTGAGCACTTGAAGTTAATTACTACCTTTTATTTCTGCCAATTTGATGATCATATAGCCATATTTGAAATATGTTCATGAGGGAGGTGTTTGATGTCTTTTACAGCTTTGCCCAGAAGAAGCTAATAAATTTTGTCGGTATGATTGGATGAGAGATGCTCTTCAAGTATTTTTGACAGCCATGGAGAAAGACAGGATGAGTGGGAGGGCAGAAAAGTTGGTGGAGCTCCCTATGTTCCCAGCGTCGGATGCCCGGGCAGAGCATCAGATGTTATCAGCTGGTTGCTCCGGAAAACCATCCAGCGGTCAGCATCTTGAAGATTCTTTTACTAGTAAATGTGTTGTGCAGGGTTAATGAGTCCTAGACAAATGTCATGATCAGTTAGCTGTTTGTCACGTTCAGTCTTCTGTTCTCCTCTTGCTTTTACAATTTCTGTAAAAAGATAGCAAATGTAGAGAAGAAATAAATTGGAAATACTTGTTAATATTAATGGATTAATTTCATTCCGAGGGTGTGCTCATCGATAAGTCATGTGTTGCACGTGGCTTTTTGTCCACACATTCCTTTTACTGAAAATTGCTTTTTAATGTTTAAAGAAACTCTTTATCAAACAGTTTCGAAGCCTTCAAACACACCTTTTTCTTGCTACTTAGTAAGTGTTTGCTTCTGTTTATAGAAATGTTTATCCATTGCAAAAGTAAAATTTTTAAAAATTTTAGCTCATGCCGGAAGTTGATATGAATCAAAATTTTTTTCAAGAAGTTTTAATTTTAATAATAAGTAGTCAAAGAAATTTTTTATATACTGATTTTATTTTTCAATAATTCACGAAATTATAAAAAGGATTATATTATTTTGCATTGTTTTTTTATATGGTTAATTTTTTATTAAACTCATTTTATTTTTATTATAATTAATAAAATTACCATCTTATTTTATTTATTTTTTATTATAATTAACAAAAATATTTTATTTTATTTTTTATTTATTAAAAATACAAAAAATAAAATAATCTTTTAATATTTTATCATTTTTATATTAAATTTGTTAAATACTATTTTAATTTTTTTACAATACGTTTAAAATAATTATATTACGATAAGATTTCTTGTTTCCTGTAGATGCTTTAGTTAGGCCAAACAAATCCTTAGTGTCGGATATAGATTCTTTTATGATTGCAATTCCTGAAAGAAAATAGTTTTTGCTCATAAACAATGCCCTGAATTCGCTACGCTTAGTTACTGTAGCATCTGACAAGTCAGCACCTACTCTACAACATCATCTACCGGATCAGCATCTCTGCCATGTTAGCATTTGACATATCATTACCTACCTTGCCACATCACCATATGCCATGTCACCAATTTTGATAGGTCATTTTCCTGGTACTTTTGACCTGTTGATTCCTTTTTTGACATTCTAACTGCAAAAATCCAATCCTTGTATTACCCAAACCAAAATTCTTATTGTATAATATGTTTATCTCTAATATTAAATTTAGCAAACAATCACCGATAAGAGGTTTTTACTAATTTGCAAAAACCTTTGTATCCAAAGAGGATTAGTTAGCAAGAGTGTGATATCCTTTTGAAAGTTTTGTTATGAGATTGGCTAGAATCCTATCAAAGATAGAGGTTATCTTGAACCTTGAAAATATAGACTTTGTAATTTGTAAAACAATTTTCTATTAATGGATTTGAAATTTTGTTAAGAAAGTTGACGGAAAGGACATAGGCACCTTGTTGGAAAAGGGCCGAACCTCTATATATAATTGCATTTTATTTTATTTTTCTACTCTTTTATTACTTATTGTCATTTATTTCACTTGTATCTATTCCTAATATTTGAGCTTGAATTTGCTTAAAAATTTAATAATCCAATTCACTCATTTTTGGATTACTTTACATATTTGAGCTATACGTTACCCTTAGGATATGGAATTGATTATGATGAAACCTTTGCCCCTATGGCTCAAATAACTTTTGTTCGAAGCTTGTTAGCCATTGCTGCCATTAAATATTGAAAGCTTTTTCAAATGGTTATTAAAAATGCTTTTCTTAATGGTGACCTTTAAGATGTATGTATGTTGCCTCCACTTGGTTACTCTTATCCACCGCATAAGATTTGTAAACTTTAGTGAGCTTTATATGGTTTGAAACAAGCACCCAAAGCTTAGTTTATAAAATTCAGTTTTTCTATTGCTTGGCTAGGTTTTACTTCGAGCTCAAATGACTCAACATAATTTGTTTGACATACTAATCAGGGCATTTTTCTTTTTTTTCTTCTTTTTCTTTTTCTTTTTCGTTATGTGGATGATATGATAATTACTAGTAATGGTCAATCTTGTATTGCTAAATTAAAACGGTTTTTTCATTAACAATTTGAAATAAAAGATCTTGGCTCTCTTAGTTTTTTCTTAGAACTTGAAGTATCATTAATTTTGATGGTTATTATTTTTCTCAAGCTAAATATACATATGATTTACTTTTTCAGGTTGGTCTTATTGATAGTAAAACTATCTGTAGCCCTTTGGAGCTTAATATTAAGCTTACTTCGATGGATGGTACTATGTTCCTTGATCCTACTTTGTATCGCCAACTTGTTGATAGACTAATTTATCTCACAGTAACTAGACTTGATATTGCTTATAATGTTCATCTATATAGCCAATTTATGGCTATTCCTTGTTCAACTCAATTTTTAGCTATTCTATGACTTCTTCACTATGTCAAAGGCAAACTGTTTCACGAGATTTTCTTCTCACACTTCTTTAATTTTATCTAGTTCTTCTAATCTAACTAGCAGGGAGATCTTATAGATCATTGTTCCACTATTGATTTTTTTTTTTTTTTTTGGATTCCTTTATTTCTTGGCGAAGTAAAAAATAAACTGTAATTGTTTAGTTTAACGTTGAATCAAAATATCAAACTTTTGTTGACACTATTTCAGAATTATTTTGGTTTCGACGTTTATTAGAAGATATGGGCATCTCACCATCATCCGTCGCCATACTTTATTATGATATTCGCAATGCTATTTAGATTGCTCATAATGATGTGTTTTATGAGTGCACCAAACATATTAAGACTTATTGTCATTTTATACAGCATCATGTGACACATGAGACTATTCTTTTAACTTCTGTATCTTCTTCAAATCAAATTGATGATATTTTTATCAAGACATATATTTTTGGTCATCTTTAAGAGTTAATTAACAAACTCAAGCTGACATCTGTAATATCACCTTGAGTTTGAGTGGAGTGTTAATGTAATATTCTGTAATATTATATAATTATGTAATAAAACATAATATTAGGGATTATGATATTATAGTAATTAGAATTACTATATGATTACAATAATTTATAATATTGTTTTCTTAGTTAATGATAATCTTCTTTATATGTAGACGCCTCATTTTTGTTGGGGTTTTTTGTCAATTGAGATCGATCCAAGCTCGATTGTGGGATTTTTATTCATTTTTATTTCAGATTTTATTTCATATTTATCATATTTATTTTATGGTTTATCTCTAGTTTATTTTTTTTTCTTTCTCTATTATCTGATTAACAAAAAGGTTGAAAGTTTGAGATTAGGCTTGGTGATGATTGTTATCAGAAAACATAATTAGATGTTAATCTTTAGCTTTTGACACTAATTAGAATTGAGTTAAAACTCTATCAGCTTACTTTTATAAATCATTGTAATTCACAACAATAGGGACATGGCAAGTGATTAGGGAAAGATCATAAAGAGAAAAATGGAAATACACAAAGCGCACAAAGAGAGAGAGATCAAAGAGAACGCAAAAGCAATCAAGAAGTGTGAATATTTTTGGTAACAAAAAATTTTTTTTGGGAATTTTCTGAAAAGTTTTTAGTTTTCGATGAGTTTTTAGCAAAATTTATCTTTTTCAAAGAAATTTTCCAGTTCCCGACAGATTTTCCAATTTTTGACGAGTTGATTCAATAGGATTTCTTGATTTCTAGAGAGAAAAAGAAAGAAAAGAGAAAAGGAAAAGAGAAGGAAAAGAGAAATTTGAAGAAAAAGCAAAAAATTAGCCTTTTATACCATCTCAAAATGACGTTGTTTTGTATGTTTTATTCAGCTAGGATTTGTGCGTTTTGCATTCGAGTGACACAACCTGATCATTGACTTGCATTTGACCTGTGGTCAGCCTTTATCTCAAGCCGAGCTGAGCCAAGCCATTATCCCAAGTTGTTTCTGCTTTTCTTCCTGAAGCCGAACTGTGCCGTAGCCACCAAACTGAGCTGTTTCTTTTTTGGTATTTTTTAATTAATGAATTAATTTTTTAAAAAAAGTATTTTTGTTTGATTAAATTTAAAAAAAATAAAAAATAGGAAAAATAAAATAGTATTTTTTAAAATAAATAGTAATTATCTAATGATTGAATTTATAAAAATTTCAAATGGTAAATTTCTATAAAATTCTTAGGTGAGAAATTTTTTCTAAATTTATCCCAAATGATTGAATAATTTAGATAAAGTTCCAATAACAATGATTAATATTTATTTTCAATTAAAAAAATAAATAAATAATTAAAAAATTTTGGAATTAAATATTAATTATTCAATGATGAGATTCTTAAAATTTCAAATGATAAATTCTCTAAGAAATCTCTAGGTGAGAAATTTTTCTAAATTTATCCCAAATAGTGAAATAATTTAAATGAAATTTCAATAAAGTAATTATATTTTTTTCAAATAAAAAATTTTGTTAAAATATTTGACAATTATTTAAGAATGGGATTCTTAAAATTTCAAATGGTGAATTTTCTAAGAAATTAGTAAATTTTCTAAAAAATCTCTAGGTGAAAATTTCTTTAAATTTGTCCCAAATGAAAGAAGAATTTAAATGAAACTTCAAGAAAATAATTGTTATTTTATTTTCTTTCTAAAGATTGAATAAAAAGGAAAAAAAATTTAAAAATCAAAAAAAAAATTTCTAAATTGGCCCAAATGGTGAAAATTTAGAAATGAAAAATAAAAATAAAAATAAATTTCGAGGATGAAATTCTTAGTAATCATAAATGGTTGATTATCTAAAAACTTTTAAGTAAGAAGATATTTCTAATTTTAGTCCAAATAATGGATGAATTAGAAATATTTTTAATAAAAAAATAAGTAAAATTTTTTTTATGACGAAACCTCTTCAAGAAAATAAATGAGATTTTTAAATACTCTTAAGGTAAGGAAGTATTTTTTTAAGAATTCTTCTAGATTGATGAAAAATCTTAAAAATTATTTTTAATATTTAAATATTAAAATAAAAACCATTAGAACCAAAGTAATTGTTAGGATAATTTAAAATTAAATGGCACCATCTTAGAATGGGCGTTGTGAGGGTGCTATAACATTTCTCATACGTAATCAAACTCCTAAACCCAGTTCTGTTCAGAAGGTCAGAACCTATTTTTTAAGAACCTTTA